CTATGAAGTCTAATAGATCGAGATGAGCCAGCCCAGCAGTCCCACCTCACAGGCAGCAGTACTGAAGCCCAAGCCCGGACGGACGTAAAATTATCTGGCCTAAAAACTCTCCAGAGTAATTGTCATCCCTTTCCCCACCCACTGATAAGCACCAAGCAGTCACATTTTTATGCAAAGCATGTGCTCCTGAAGACCTTGCATAATTCAAAACGTGCATAATTCCAGGCTAATTTTGCCATAAAAATGAATGCAAAGCAGAAAGAACGTGTTGTATAAATCTACCCCCATCGTGGCATATTTTTGCTTTAATGCTGCTTTTTATTTTCCCAGCATTATCTCTAATATTTCACAGCGCGCTCTCTGCTGAATTAACGGTGCAGCATTTCCTGCTGGTGGTTTGGCCTTCTTCATAACCTTTTATCACATCTCACTTTCTTTCCAACGTTATTGATTTTCAGGTGCGTTTCTCAGCGCCTCCACTTAAAGAACGCTCGGATGACATTGTTACGGGCCACAGATAAGAGATTTAAAGTTATCACAACTGCCGATGTTGAGGAAATGGCACAATCGTCTCCAGAATTCCCCACCATGATTAGAAATTCGGATGCTTGCAAACCACCGTGCACGCACACAGAAGGCGCGTATTTCTATTTGATAACCAGAGCGACACCACCCCATGGCAGGTTCACAATTCCCAGTTAACAGCTCACTTAGCTCCTCCAACTCCAGGCAGTTGTGCAATTCTGACAAGTTGTTTTTTTTTTTAACTGAGTAGTTTTGCGTTATTTCCAACTTAGTGCATAAACATGTATTAGCATTTGTATGTCGCATCTTCCTGAGGCCACAGAGTTGACGTTCTCATGAACCAGGACCTCACCCCGGATGGTCTCACTTGCCAGGCCATTCACCCCAGAGGAGGGCGGGGAGAGCACAACCACACCGAACAACCATGGACCCAGATTGGACTTCAGCAGTTCCACCCACCCGCCTCACACTCACATGGGGGCCCTTCTGGAGGCAGCATCCGCAGAGCCCCCCCGGCCCCCACAAGTCCACTCCCAGGGTCCTTCTGTCTCCCCCTACCCCCTCTTCACATCGGCATTTGGTTCAAGTTGTCTCATTCTGTGCCAGCTGCCCCCTCCTCAACACGGAGCCTGAGGGGGATTTAGACCCGTGGGGAGGGGGGTGGGGGATGAAGGAAAACGAGGACTGAGTACCCAGCACTTACAAGACATCGGACTTCCCACAGGGCCGAGAACAGCCTCTTGGCACACAAGGCCTGTGGAGTGTCTGTTTGGCCTTCCTCTGCCTGGAACTGCTTGCTTTCTTTCTTTTTAATTTTTGTTTATTGGTTTTTTAAGAGAAAAAAGAGAGAGAGAGAAACATCAGTTTGTTGCTCCACTTATTCATGCATTCATTGGTTGTCTCTCGTATGTGCCCTGACCAGGGATCAAACCCGCAACCTTGGCGTATCGGGACTTCATTCTGACGAACTGAGTGACTTTGGCTAGGGCCTGTATAATTGCTTTCTGAAAGGTTCCCTCTGCTTGGCCAGAGCCTGGCCCCAGAAGAAGGGAGGGCCAGACCCCAGGAAGAAGGAGAGGGGGGGCTGGCTCTGAACCCACACCTGCTGGGGCCCCTGTCCTGCTTCCACTCCCACCCGACCTTGGGCAAATTCTTATCCAAAACGCAGCCCCTCTCTGAGTCTCAGTTCCCACCTCTGTAGCATCTAGGGGGTAAAAACACCTACTTCGTGTTACCTACCGAAGTAGAGGGGTTTGTCTGCCTGCACACGTTTAAGCCCAATAAAATGCTAAAAGGAGTCTTTGCAGCCCAGAAAGTGAAGGTTTCCTTTTAAGGAAATGGTGCCATGCGGGGAGTCACAGGTGAGCTTGTGCCCAAAATCTGGTCCCCCGGGGCTTCTAGGGGACCGGTCCTACAGTGCACTAAGCCAGTTAGGGTCAGGGTTCGGGTCATGGTCTCTACCGACTGGCTGCAGCCTGGGCAGGGGCAGTTGACCGTTGCTTCTGGTCCTGGCGTCGGCCATGGCATCCTGTTGTCTGGTTTTGCAAGAATGTGGTCAGCGGGGTTTTGTCAGAGCTGAAGCACCACTGACGCCATAGACGCTGTCTCCAATTTGACCGAAACCGTTTCTGTGGTCAACAGACCCGAGGCTTTGATCCCGAGATTATCTGATGCTGCCAGAACGTCGCTGTCCCAAGGGCCTCCTGATTAGGGGAGTGGGTGTACAGGGCAGAAGGCGGTGGGTGGGTGAGTCGGGGTGGGTTTGCGGGACGGGGCCAGTGTGACTCAAAAGGGAAGAAAGGAGAGAAATGAAGCTTCTGTGTGAGTATGAATGCAGTCCCCCAGACAACACATGGCACCAAACACGGGCAGGGGCGCCCATTTACTGGGGTGTGTGAGGGCCAGCGTCGGAATCGGGGGTTCCACCCTCTAGAGCGGGTGTGGTGCGACGTTAGACGGTCCCCAGCCGGGAGGACTCTGCCCACTGATGAACAAGTCACGGAGGGGAAGCACGGGGAATCGCTAGCTGCAGAGGGCAGGGGGCTCCCACTCCGGTTTTGCCCAAGTGTCTGTGAAGTCACCTTCTGATTTAAGAGTTCGGCGGCTTGGACAGGAGCCAGACGGCCTCTCTGCCGCCCAGGTAACCCTGGATTCCGGCCAGCCCCTCCCACCGGGCCCGCCCCACCCTGCGCAGCCGGAGAATCTGCAAATTTGCCTGGTGAGTAGGCTGGGTGGACCCAAAGCCACATTCCTCCTACCTGTCAGGAGACGGTGGAATCACTCCAAGGCCAAGGCCAAAGCCTGGGCTGGATCCAGGGGTGTCCAACCCACAGCCCGCAGGCTGTGTGCGGCCCAGAGTGGCTATGAATGTGGCTCAACACAAAGTTGGAAATTTATGAGACTTTTTTGTTTGCATTAGTGCTTGTGTATTTAATGTGTGGCCCAAGACACCTCTTCTCCTTCCAGCGTGGCCCAGAGACGCCATAAGGCCGGACGCCCCTGTACCCTGCCCATCCCCACCAAGCCTCGATTACCTCCTTGGCACCATTTTACACTCCTCCCTCTCTCCGAGCCTCAGCCTTCCCCACTGGAAAATGGGAGCCCAGGCTGCCCCAGCTGCTTCAGCTGAGCATTCCCAGACTGTGGGAACCTGGCCTCCACCTTCCACTCCCTACCCCGACGCGGGTGCCGGGGGCTGAGGTACACTGATTCACTACTGTTTGCCGGGCCCCCAAGTACGAAAGGGGGAGGGAGCCCCACGGAACAGCGCCAGGGAGGCCTTCTGGAGGAGAGGGCGGGATGTGCAGCCCCAGGTTAAACACTCGGGGGCAGTGCCCGGCCATGGTTGCCCCCCTCCTGCCGCTGGGGTCATCTCCTCCTTCACATCGTTGTCTCCCCGCAGACAAGGAGGCTCCCGAGGGCCAGCAGGTACCAAGCCTCTCCTCTCTGTATCCCCAGCGCCTGGGTGCTGGGACTGACTTCCCGCCTGGACAGAGAAAGGGCGGGTTTCCCCTGGGCAGGAGCCAGGAAGGTGGCCTGTTCCCGGCCTGTGGCCTGTTGGGCGTGTTCCAGGTGACCACGCAGAACCAAACCATGCAGCCAAAAAGGAACAGCCCCAGACTCACCCTCGGCTGCCTCCTCTCCCCCCGCTCAGGTCCCACAGCCTTCTAACCTCCTACTCGCCTCCTCCTGCCACCCCTCCCTGTCCCCACGGCCTGGCCCCTCTCCTGGAAAGCCTGTCACTTCCGGCTATTTGACTCACTTTGGACTGGCCGGAGAGTCACAGGCTGCCCTGGTGACAGAGAAGGGTCCCTGGGTGTGCTTTCTTTGAACCCAGGTCCCGGCATCAGCCCTGAAATTCCTCCTCCTCCTTCGGGGAAGCGCTGTGAGGGAAAGTCCACGACACAGAAAACAACAGCACTAAATGTTTGCCACGGCCCTGGCTGGGTGGTTAGTTGGCTGGAGCATCATCCCATCACCAGAATATCCCAGGTTCGGTTCCCAGTCCGGGCACATACGGGAGGCAAACAACGGATGTTTCCCTCTCACATCAGCGTCTCTCTGTCTCTCTCTTTCTCCCTCCCTCTCTCTCTCCCCCCCTTCCTCTCTCTCTAAAATCCATAGGCATATCCTCAGGTGGGGATTAAAAAAACATGTTTGCCACATCCGTCCCTGGTTCTCCTGCCTGTGCACCTTGAAACCTGGAGAACCCCTCCTCCACACATGTCCGAATGTTCCCCATCTGCCATCGCGGGTTCAAGGGTCACAGCTCCCCCGGGAAAGTGACTGTTCCCCTATTAGGACCTTCTCCCCTGGGCTGCTGTGACCACAGGTGGCAGGAGGAACTGCTCAGCCGGGGGACCCATGGCAGGTCCCAGCCTGGCTTTGCCTGGTGTCTTGCGAGTCACTGCCAGCCTCTGGGCCTTCTCTCCCACCTGAGGGGGGGACGTGAGCATAAGGCCCATTTAGGCTCAGCCACCCTGGGGGTCATCCCCCCACTGGCCAGTTAGCTCCTGGGACACTGAGGGGTCAGTACGGTTGCTGAGGACCTCAGTGAATGAATTCAGAGCTGGGGACACTCAGACCTAAAGCTCTTTCAGAATTAAGCCTCTGAGCGTCCTCGGCCCAGCAACCGCCCTTCCTGTCCCTTTCCCTGGCCCAGGAGCCGAGCCGTCTTCTCAGCCGCCAGCCAGCCTCACCCTCAGCTCGGCCCTGGGTGAGATGGCCAAAGACGTCGACAAGCTGTCCACTCACTGTTCTTTTTCCCCCACGTAATTGCGTACCACGGGGGTAAACACAGTAACGTCAAATACTTACTCAGTGCCCACCGTATGCCGGGCAGTGGGCTCTGGGTTTCCACACGAATTATCTCATTTAATCCTGCTGCCCATCCATGAGGCAGGTCCTTTATTAGCTCCCGGAACCTCTCAGGCCAGGAAATGAGGCTGAGAGAGGTGAAAGTTGCCCAAGGTCACCTAGCAAGCTAGTGACAGAATTTTGGAACCTTATGAAATCATTTTTGCACATTTGTGCTGCAATATTTTTGCATTCTTACAGTCCTCTCTCAGGCTTTGTATTTTTTGTTTTCAATTTCATGTCCTAATCTATTTTCAGTCTGCGATGCTTTGTTTGTTAGGCACTGTTTCTTGTCTTCCTCACTATGACAGTAGAAATATTCTGGAAAACATAGCTAAATAGGTAAAGTGGACATGGATGACTGAGAATGAATTTTTTAAATGAAACAACCTAGGAAGCAGAAAAATTGCTTTCAACACACATATGAATATTGCAAAATCTCCCCAAGGTGCAAGAATGTTCTCAAGACGGGAACTGGTGGCTGTGAGCATTCACTTCCAACCAGATTCCTTGCAGCTGATCCACTTGAAACCTAGAGAGGGAAAAAAAAGTTTTAAAGTTTGTTACAACTTTGTCAGACAAGCACATAGTTGCTGGAAAATGTTTAGAAATTAAAAGCCCATACTAACCGAGCAGGGGCAATACCATGATCACGAAGGTGGTTTTCCCTGGGCGAGGCAGGTTCATTGCACTCCGGGTGTGCTGACCCCTGTGGTGTCCCCACGTGTGGGAAGCTCAGCCGCATAATTTGTGGTGGGGGGACTGCACTTGTGCTCTCCCCCGACTTTGGGTTTTAGACGTTAGGCTGTGAGTTTCTCTTTCGTGCTGGGTTCAAGCACTAACCTTCCCACCAGATGATTCTTCTGTGTAGTTTCTTTTCCTTTCGGCTTTGGGGGGCAGCCCCGGAATTTCTATCTGAGAACACGTGATCGTGCCTGCAACACCATCCACTCATTTCTTCCAACTCATTCTTTCTTCAAATCTAACAATCCTACCTACAAAAAAACAAAAGAAACTAAAAGCCCAGAAACCTGCAGGTGGACATGAAGCATAAAGAGATACCAATAAAAGCTAAAATTGTAGAAGTTGCAGAGCCACCCCACAGTACATAAAAATAATATTTGAGTAAACAGGAGCCAGAATTACTGTCTCAACTAACTTGTATTGGTGTCAGCCTTATTGACATATAATTGAATACAAGAAAATGTACAGATTTTTTTAAGCAGAGTTTAAGTTCTGACAAATATATATCCATATAACAACTATACAATCAAAATGTTGATTCATCTTGACATCAATAAGAGGCCGAACACTCCCATCACCCCAAAAGTTCCTTTGTACCTCTTTGCCATCAATCCACCCACCCCTGACTCACGATCTGCTCTCCACAGGCAGAATCTGTTCCAGAACGTCATGCAAATGCAGCCGTGTGGCATGGACTCTTTCGCACCGGTCTTCTTTCGCTCATGAAGGTGTTTTTGAAAGTCGTCTCCTTTGTGATGTGAACAAAGCAGTCCTTTCACTTTATGAGGTAGTGCCCTGCTGCACAACCCCACCACACCGTGTTTGCTCACTCATCTCTTGATGGGCGTGTGGATCGCCTCCCGTTTTTCACTATTATGAATGGCTTTCTATGACCATTTTTGCCTAAGTCTTCATTTTAATATCGTTTTTCATTTCTCTTGGGTGAACTCCTAACAATGAGATCGAGAGGCCATGTGGGAAATGTACGTTTAACCTTATCCAAAAATCGGCCCACAATTTCCCAAAGTGACTCCAACGTTTTCCTTTCCCCTAGCGGCGTGCGAGAATTCCAGTTGCTCCCCATTCTGGAAACTATTTTATAGTGTCAGCTCTTTACATTTTTTTTTAATCCTAGAAAGTAAGAAGTTGTATCTCACTGTCCAACCAAATTATTTTTTATCCAATAGTCGGCTTTCTTCTCAATATCAATTCTATAATAATATTTGGAAAGGAGATTTCAATATCCCACTATGGACACCACACAGAGCAACTAAACAGGTGAATAAGGAGACAGAGGAGTTAACACTGTATGTACCAACCGCATACAGCTGACTTGTATAGCATACCCCACCCCAAAGACTGCAGGGATTAAAACATGTTCGCACTAAAATTTCAACATCCATTGAGCATACTTTAAAGAGGTAGAAACAAAACAGTACAAATAAATAATTAGAAATAAAAAAGTAGAAACAACACATTGCCCATTAACTGATGAATGGGTAAACGAAATAGTCTATCCAAATACTGGAATGTTATTCAGCCTGTGATGGTTAATTTCATGTCAACTTGACTGGCAACCGGTACCCAAGTTAAGCATGTTTCTGGGCCTGTCTGTGAGAGTATTTCCAGATGAGACTGACATTGGAATCAGTGGACTCAGTGATGTAAATTATCCTCTCCAAGGCTCCTGGGACACATTTAGTCTGTGGAGGACTGAATGGAGCAAAAGGTGGAGGAAGGAGGAACTCAACCCCCCACCTCTTCTCTGCCTCTGCACTTGAGTTGAGACACCTCATCTTCTCCTGCCCAAAGACGGGGACTTCACTGTCGGGTCCTCTGGTTCCCAGGACTTCAGAGTCAGGCCAGATTGCACCAGAAGCTTTCTTATGTCTCCAGCTTACCGATGCAAGATCATTGCACTTCTCAGCCTCCATAATCACATGAGCCAATTCATCATAATAAATCTCCCTTCATGTAGATACATGAGCACAGACAGATAAAGATATATAGATATCTCCCACTGTCTCTGCTTTTCTGGAGAACGCTAATACACAGCCATTTAAAAGAAACCAAATACTGATACATGCTACAAAATGAGTGAATTTTTCAAACATCGTGCCCAGTTTAAAAAGCCTATCACAAAATCCACACATTGTATGAACTCATTTACATGAAATATCCAGAGCAGGCAAATACATACAGAAGAAGGGAGGTTATTGTTCGCCTTGGACTGAGGGGTTGGGGAAAATGGGAAGTGGCTGTTGAGGGATATGAGGGGTCATGGCTGAAGTGACAAAATGTTCTAAAACGGACTTCCGGCCAACATGGAGGCATAGGTAGATAAGCTTTGCCTCCTCATACAACCAAAGGAAGAACAACAACAAATTTAAAAACAAAAACCAACCAGAACACCAAAAATAAAACTGTATGGAAGTCCAACAACCAAGGAGTTAAAAAAGAAACATTCATCCAGACTGGTAGGAGGGGCAGAGATGGGAAGCCGGGAGGAGAAGACATAAGGCAAGGCAGTGGCTGGCAGACCAGGTAGTCCTACACTCATGTGTGGATAAGCTGGGAGGAACTTCGGAGTAAGACAGACCTTGCAGCCCAGGGTCCCCACATGGGAAACTAAAGCCTCAAAAACTCTGGCAGTAAAAATCTGTGGGGGTTGCATTGGTGGGAGAAACTCCCAGCCTCATGGGAGAGTTTGCTGGAGAGACCCACAGAGTCCTAGAATGTATACAAATCCACCCACCTGGGAATCAGCACCAAAAGGGCCAATTTGCTTGTGGGTAGTGGGGGAAGTGCCTAAAAGTGAGGTTAGAGCCAAGCAAGTGGCATTGTTCCATCTTGGGCCCCTTCCCCCATACAGCACCACAAAACATCGACGTGGGTTGCCCCGCCCTGTAGGATAGCCAAGGCTCCACCCTTTACTGCGTAACAGGTGTGCCGAGACAAAAAAATATGGTCCAAATGAAAGAACAGATCAAAGTTCCAAAAACAGAACTAAGGAATGAATAGATAGCCAATCTATCAGATACATAGTTCAAAACACTGGTAATCAGGATGCTCACAGAAATGATTGAGTATGGTCACAAAGCAGAGGAAGAAAAAGCAAAGGCTATGCAAAGTGAAATAAAGAAAAATATACAGAGATACAACAATGAAGGGAAGAAAACCAGGACTCAAATCAACAATTTGGAACAGAGTGAAGAAATAAACATTTGACCAGAACAGAATGAAGAAACAAGAATTTAAAAAAAAAAACAAAAACAAAAAAAAAACAAGGAGAGGCTTAGAAACCTCTGGGACAACTTTAAATGTTCCAACATCCAAATCATAGGGATGCCAAAGGAGAAGAGGAAAAGCAAGAAATTTAAAACATATTTGAAAACGTAATGAAGGAGAACTTCCTCAATCTGGCAAAGGAAATAGACTTCCAGGAGGTCCAGGAAGCCCAGAGAGTCCCAAAGAAGTTGAACCCAAGGAAGCATACACCAAGGCACATCATAATTGCATTACCCAAGATTAAAGATAAGGAGGGAATCTTAAAAGCAGCAAGAGAAAAGGAGCCAGTTACCTACAAAGGAGTTCCCATAAGACTATCAGCTGATTTCTCAAAAGAGACCTTACAGACAAGAAGGGGCTGGAAAGTATTCCAAGTCATGCAAGGCAAGGACCTATATCCAAGATTGCTCTATCCAGCAAAGGTATCATTTAGAATGGAAGGGCAGATAAAGTGCTTCCCAGACTAGGTAAAGTTAAGGAGTTCATTATTACTAAGCCATTATTATATGAAATGTTAAAGGGACTTATGTAAGAAAAAGAAAAAGATCAAAAACATGAACAGTAAAATGACAACAAACTAACAATTATAAACAACTGAACCTAAAAAACAAAAATAAAAACACACTAAGCAAACAACTAGAACAGGAACAGAATCTGGAAATAGAGATCACATGGAGGGTTATCAGTGGGGGAGGGAAAGGGAGAGAGTAGGGGAAAAGGTACAGGGAATAAGAAGCATAAATGGTAGGTACAAAATAGACAGGGCAAGGTTGAGAACAGTATAGGAAATGGAGAAGCCAAAGAACTTGTATGTACGACCCATGGACATGAACTGAGGGAGAGAGATGCTAGAAGGCATGCAGGTACAGGGGGACAAAGGGGAGGAAAAAATGAGACAACTGTAATAGCATAATCAATAAAATATACTTTAAAAAAGAAAGGAAATATTCTGAAATGATTGTGGTGATGGTTGCACAACTCTGTGAATATATTAAAAACCACTGAATTGTACACTTAAGTGAGTAAATGTATACTTTAAGTGGGTGATTTATATCTTGATAAAGCTGTTTTAAATAGCTATTATAAGTTATAAGTGAATTAAGCAAGGTTGTGGAATATAAGATCAATATACAAAAATTGATTATGTTCTATATACAGAAAAGACAAATGGATATTAAGATTTTTAAGTACCATTATAATAGCAACAGACAACCTGAAAAAAATAGGGATGAACTTAACAAAATATATGCAAGGTTTGTGTGCTAAAAACTACAAAATGTTGATGAGACAAACACCTAAATAAATGGACAGAGAGGTGACATTCATGGATCAAAAGACTTAAAATTGTTAAGATGTCACTTCCCCCTAAATTGATCTATATATTCAATACACCTTCAATAAAATCCTGGCAAGTTTTTTCATACAAATTGGCAAGCTGATTCTAAAATCTGTGTGGAAAAGCAAAGGACATAGGCTAGTCAAAACACTGTTTAAAAAAAAAAAGCAAAGTTGGAGGACTCATGGCATGTGATTTTAAGACTTAATATAAGCTACAGGAATAAAAAGGGTATAATATCGGTGAAAGAATAAATATACATATCAATGGAACCAAATAGAGTTTAGGAATATGTGGTCAATTGGTTTTTAACAAATATGCCAAAATAATTCAAAAGAGAAGAAATGTTATTTTCAATAAATGGTGCTGGAACTTTTCAACATACCTATGTTTAAAAAAAAAAGAAAGAAAGAAACCTTCACACACACCTGTTGCTGTATAGAGAACTGACCCAAGATGGATCATAGAACTAAATGGAAAACCATAAACCCTAAAACTTCTAGATGAAAACATGTGATTTGGATGAAGCAAAGATTTCTAAAGTATGATCCAAAAGCATGCATCATAAAAGACAAATAATTAATTGGACTATCGAAATTTAAAACATCTGCACTTCTACAGAGGCTGTTAAGACAATGTAAACACAAGCCAAAGGCAGGGAGAAAATATCTGTCATGCACATTTCTCATCAAGGATTTTTATCTAAATATATAAAGAACTCTCACAACTCAATAGTAAAAAACAAACATGAGAACAGACACTTCGCCAGAGGAGAAACATGAATGGCACTTAGGCACATAAAAAGATGACATCATTAGCCATTAGAGGAGTGCGAACTGAAACCGCAGTAACAGATCACTGCACGTTTATTCGAGTGAATAAAAACTGTAAATTGACAATACCAAGTACTGGTAAGGACGCGGAACAGCAGGAACTCTCCGGCCTCTCTGGTGGGTGCAGCCATGTTGGAAAGCAAATCGTCAGTCCCTTCAAAGTCAAACACACAGCGGTGGTGGGTGTGGCTCAGGTGGCTGGGCGTGGTCCCGCAAAGTGAACGGTCACGGGTTAGGTTCCCCTCAGGGCACCTGCGTGGGTTGCAGGTTCTGTCCAAGTCAGGCCACCGATTTCTCTCTCACACTGATGTTTCTCTCCCTGTCTTTCTCCCTCCCTTCCCGTCTCCCTAAAAATAAATAAAACTTTTTTAAAGATTAATGGTCTAAATAGAATTAAATAATTCCAAGTTAAATGCAATTCTTAAAAGTTATTTTGTTTAATGATGAAAGTACTCTTCTGCCAAGCAATTCTTTAAAGACTGGAATTATAAAAGATAATTGAATCGCTATTATTCTGCCTAGTCCCTTTACTTAAATTTGCATAAACATTTACGGGTTCCAAAAGAATAAAATGTTCTTCCTCAACTTATCTAGCTAACACTCTCTTAACATCTGTATGAACTGTCAGTCTATTTTCCAATTTATTTAAATATGTGAACCTTAGCGATTAACAGCTTTTAACTCTCACTAATTACCATTTTAGCCTGGAATAATAATATATGTATTCATCCATTGATAAAATAATTTCAATACATAAAGCACAAAAGGAGATCTTTCAGTTTGAGTTACTTCTAAAATTCTTAACTATGTTTTTAAATGTTCAAAAAATAAGATGGCAATACAAAATTCAAGGGGCCTGCCCTGTTTGTTGTCCTGATGTGAAGACACTGGTTAAATAGGCTGTCCCTCTCCTGATGCACATTTCAGCGATGTCAGAAATGACACCAGAATAGACACCCAGCTGTCTGACCTTCCAAAGGCCGGGGCTCGGGTTCGGTAGGAGAGTTGGGCAGAGCGGAAGACTGAAACTGGACTTCGGTAGATGGTGGCCTGTGGTGGGATGCCTCTTACAGGAAGTCAGCAGGGCAGCTAGCCACAGCCTACAGTCCAGCTCTGCATTTCCTCAGTCAACAAACCTTTATTGAACACCTACTGTGTGCCAAACTCTACGCCTAGGCACCCAGACACAGTGGTGAATGAGAGCCTGGTTGGAGGGAGAGAAGTAACCAGTTACACTATAGCGTGCAGCTCGGATTTGACTGTATTAAGGGGCCCAATTATGGACCCCACCTGTATCCACACCCTTTGTCCTGTGACTTTGCAGTCTCCTCCCACCCTGCCTCTGGACTGGCGGGGGACTTGCTTTGGCCAAGAGAATAAGTAAGGCAGAAGTCACTCGCCAATTCTGAGCTTCAGTCTGCAGAGGCCTTGTTACTTTTGCTCTTTCAGACTTCTGCACACCATCAACACAAGCCCAGGCTGGACTGTTGAAGGACAAGAGGCCCAGTGGAGGAGAGCTCAGTTGCCCCAGCTGAACCCGTCCTAAACTAACCTGCACATGAGACCACCAAACGTGAGTGAGCTCAGTCAAGGTCAGCTGAACAGCCCAAAGGAACCACAGACTGGCGAACTGAATTTTGAATTGCGTGTTGCACAGCAATAGCTGATACAGTTAGTGCAATGAACCATTGAAAGGGCTGAGCTGGCAGGGAAAGCCACAAGGAATACTAACAATAGGTAACTATGGGACAGACACTGCACAAACTAATATATTATCACCACTCTCTTTCCTGTTCCAAAGAGGTTAAATGATTTGCCATGGCCACAGAACGGAAAAGGTGTGGACCCAGGACGTGAACCTGGGTCTGTCTGACTCCAGAGGATAAGGATTTTAATTGCTACGCTGTAGCACGAGGGACAGGAAAAAGCAAAAAGGTAGCAAGACGATTCTTATTACAGATTCTGTGGCTCCAGAACTGGAATTAACTTCGGTTCATTTCTGCATTCAGTCGTTCATTTAGATAATCTACATGTTAAACTCAGGTTCTTTATGTGTATCTGAGATCACTCAAAACCCACTAATAGCAAAAAGGCCATCAACATTCCAGTGTAACGTATCCCATAAATCACCTGAACTGACCAGTGAACCCAGTAGAGGGGAGAGGGAGCAAAACCCAGAAATGAAGAACTTTCAGAAGATACTTACTAAATTAAACCACTCTCAAGTTCCCAGGTATCCTCACCAGCCCGCCTCACCACCACCATGTTCCCCCCAGCAAAGACACAAAGAAAGAAGTCAACCTTGACCCACATCCACTAGCTGGTGGCCCATCTGCAAACATACCAGTGTTTGCACATCCTGGTTGACACTTCCTGCTGCCCAGCCCTTTCCATTTCTCTAGCCCTGCTCTTTGGAACCCCAGCACCTGGGGACGGAATGTGGTTGTAGTGGCTGGACTCACCCTCTGGAACTGGCCAGTTACTGCCCTGACCCTACTTCCTGGACAGAGGGAAAAACCCCTACAGCAGCATCTAGGGCTCTCTGACTACAAGCAAAAGATACACACTCCAGGCAACTTATGCAAAAAGAAGGTCATTGGAAAAGCCCTAGGTTGCTTAGAGAACTGGGGAAAACGCTGAAGAACAAGCCTGGGAAGGAACAGCAAGCCAGGCTATTCCTCTGAGGGGTCCCAGAGGCAGGAACAGCAAATGGGCTTTCTGGGCATTGCTGCCACCGTTAATTTAGGTGTTGGTGTTGGTGTTGGTGTAACCAGTTTAGGTGTTTTCGCGGTGGTGGAGGTGGTGGTGGTGCTTGATGTTGTTTCTGCTCCAGATTCCATTTCGGAAAAAGAAAAAGTAAGCAGCGGGGTCCTTGGCTGGGCTGGGGTCATGTTCACACCCCTTTGGCCGAAGGAAGGCAAGCACAAAGACCACAGCAGCCAGGAGGGGGCACTCCCAACAGGATATGGGGGCATTCTTATCTAAAGAGGGAATAGATGCCCGCTGTGCATACTCTTCTTCACAGCTCATCCACAAAGGGAAACAGCAGGGAGACCTAATCTACTTGGGGGTCTGCCCTCAGTTCTGAAGGACAAGGAGTTGCCAGGTTCAGGGGGTGAATGTGGGAGGGCACTGAACGGCCTGGAGCCACGCGAGCAAAGGAGCAGGGAGGAGCTCTGTGCAGACCTCCAGATGCCCGATCCAGTGCAGGCCCCTCACTGTGGACGCTGGCAGTTTGCCAGTCCAGCATCCAACCCCCTTCTTCTGGCAGCATCTCATAATTTCATTTCCAGAGCCACACATCCTCACCGTCAGACCACTTGCTCTGGTCCAGGGGCGGAGCTAGGCATGCAGCACTTAAGCCAGAGGCTGAGTTTATCTGCCTGGGCCACAGGGATTGGTTAAGTGGGGTCACATGACCCTGAGCCAGCCCTCTCAGTAAACTCAAGACTTCTGAGAGTGATTTCCACCCCACCACACTGAAACTTGAATGGTATTTTACAGCAGTGAAAATACTTTGTATGATACTCTTAACAGTGAATACATGTCATTATACATTTGTCCAAGCTCATAGAACACTAAAAGACCCCTAATATAAGCTATGTACTCTGAGTTATAATGATGTGCAAGTATAGGTTCATCAGTTCTAACAAATATACCGCTGGGGGGGTGGGTGTTGTTAATGAGGGAGGCTATGCCTGTGTGGGGGCAGAGGGGTTATGGGAAAATCTCTGTGCCTTATAAGGACATCAGTGATAGGAATCAGGTTCCACTTTAACCCTGTATGAACTTTTTTTAACTAAACTAATTATATCTGCAAAAACCTTATTTCCAAATAAGGCCACGGGATGAATTTGCGGGAACACTATCCAACCCAATACACCTATTACTACCCACCAAGCCTCACGCTACACACCAGCACAGTGACACTGCTTCTCAGTCGCCACAGAGCAGCAGCTAACCTGCAGACACACCAGCCCTGCTTGGTGATTACTCAGACGCCTGGTACAGGAATTTGGGGGAGGGACACTTTTTGCTATTCTGGATCTGAAAAAAAAAAAAAAGGCTGCACCACCCAAACCAGGTGCTGAACAGAAACCGGGCCAGTCAGAAAGGTGACGTCTCCAGGAAATGTTATTGCTGAAGAGGAAGCAGGCCTTTGTTAATCCTCTCCAGCTTTCCCACATTTGCCTACAGAACCCTCTCCCCAACACTGGGACTTACTTTTTGTTAACAGACCCTGGATTTGCCAGTCCCATTGTTGGTTCTCCCACTCTCATCCTTGGCTGGAACACGGGCCCTGCCTTCGAAACTCTCCACCCTGCCTCTAGCTCTGCAGCTGGGGCTCCTTCCCTGGGGACTACAGTCCCTGCACTGCCGCCTCAGACCCTGGGCCAGCCAGTGACAGATCGTCCAAGCTCCTAGGGACTTGGGCTCTCCCCATGCATCTGCTCTGCCATCTTCAGCTGTCCTCCTTTTGTCCCATGGTTACACAATGGGGGCTGTCCTTCCAAACCTCAGGCCTCCATTCAAGACAGATCGTGTACTACAAAGAAGCAACAAAAAGGGTAAAGACCTCGCCGCTATAACAAAGAGCTCCCTCTACAACTACACAGGGACATAAACAGTATAAGTTGATTTCTCTCTCACATAACAGTCCCCAGGTAGGCAGGCCACATGGGCAGGTGGCTCTGCACACACAGTCAGGAAGCCGGGCTCTTCCCATCGTATTGCTTCCCCCAGCCCTAAGGCATTGACCTCGTCTGCACGGTCACAGCTGCCATATGGACACACTGGGCCCCCAGGTTATGGGAAGAGGAGGACAGAGCATGGAGGAGCCCACACCTAGGGTTCTAAGGCCTGGATTTGGAAAGCAGCACACACATCACCTCCCTTCCCCATCCACCTAGTCACATGCCTAAGTGACCCCCAAGGCAGGCCGGGAAATAGAGTCTCTGGCTAGGCAAGCACGTGACTACCTTTCAATTATTTGGGGCTAATGGGAGAAAAATTTTGGTAGATAATTATTAGGGTCCACCAGATAGAGTTAGCTTCTGAGTCCTTGTTGAACTCAGGGGCAAGACAGTCAACACCTGTGTGTTTCCAGGAGCTCTCAGGCCCTACTGATTCAGATCACTGT